TTGGTTAGCGACAAGTATCTTTCCAGATGGAAGAGATATTTCTAAAGTATATGGAAGGAATTCACATTCCACTTTAGACTTTGCAACAAAAGAAGAAGAAATGAACGAATGTGTAGCTCCAGAATCTATAAGCACAAATGCAGGAATATTGGAAACAGAGATGATACCTGCGACGACATTAGGGTCTCGTTCAGCTTCTTGCCTAGACAAGGAGAAAACTCTTGCTTTTCCTTTCTTATCATCTCCAGCCTTCTGTGTCTGATTCTGAGGACATTCTTTAATGAAATGTCCTGATTTCCCACATTTGAAACAAATATTTTTACCCAATAAACATTCTCCTTTGTGAAGTCTATCGCACTTAGGACAACGCCTTTTACCACTAACTCCTGCTATATCCGTTCTTCCTTTCTTTGATACATTATTCCCTTTTCCTTTACCGGTATTCTGTCTCTCAAAATTCCACTTCCTCTTACCTGAAAAGTTTTGAATTTGGTAAGAATTTCCCACGCTTTGAGTTCTTTGGTAAGAAATAGTCTGGGCTCGCTTCAGGACTTCTCGATAAGTGCCCAACTCAAGAACTGACACTATGTCACGAATGTAAGGTTGAAGTCCACGCTCAAATCTTCTAGCCCGTTTTTCCTCAGTATCCACTAAATGTGGGGTAAACCTTGATAATTCCTCAAATTTGCGCTCATATTCCACCAGGGTCATGGTTCCCTACTGAAGTCTAAGGAACTCCATCTCCTTTTGATCTCTCACAGCTGTCGGGAAAAATTTTTCTTCTACAAGTTCCTTAAACCTCTCCCAAGTTATAGCTTGTTCTTCAGCAGGTGTTAATGACCTAGTATTCATATCCCACCAATGGCTAGCCCCCTTCTTTAACATAAATACTGAAAATGTTACCCTTTCAGCATCATCACATCTTATAAATTTAAAGATGTGTTCTAATTCTCGTAACCAATCCTCAACTGCTAAGGGATCTGTACTTCCCTCAAACGATGGAGGGTTCATTTTCCGAAATTGCTCTATCATTGCAGTTCGATCCCTCGAGTTAGGTACTATTTGAGGTTGAATGATTGGTTGGTTAGGTTCCTGATGATCAACTGGTATTTGTTGATTTAAGGTTTGTTGCCTAGTCAAAGGTGGTGCCTGTTGCTGCTGTCCTAACTCCCGCATTACAGCAAGCAGTTCTCGTGCAAAGTTTGCAACATTAACTTCACCACCACTAGAACTAGCATTAGCATTGCCGTGGTTGCGCTTTGGAGGCATTTCCTTTGAATAAAAAAAAATATTCATCCAGTTAAAATTTACTTCAGATCGTAATACTAACTTTAGAAAAAAAATTCAAAGGCCAAAACAACTTTCCTTCATATATATATACACTGTTATTTCTCACAAACAAAAGTCATACTGAGGTATGATACATACATTCAAAAGCAGGGGTACACGTTACATCGTATTCTATTCCAAAAACAAAGATAGCTAGGTAAGATGATGTCTAATCTTCTATTTCTTCTGGATCCTCATCGGGATCTTCCTCTGGGTCTTCTTCTTGGTCTTCCTCTAACATGCTTTGCTCCGATCCATCCGGTAATGGTAGGGGAAAACTTTCCTCTAAAATTCTCGAAAAGCACCTAGCCAATGGTCCCTTAACTAGCTTAGATTTGGTAGCTCGTAAACTGGTATTCATGGATAAGGATATAGTCTTCTTAAAGTTTCGCTGTAAATCACGACTAGTCCCACAGCTCTCTCGAAGCAAATAGGTAAGATCCTCGTATGAAAGGTCATCATCAGACCATGACACGATCCCTTTTATGACTGTGGCCCAAGGTTCTAGAACAGTTTCATATAGCCTCAGTATCTTCACCTTATTTCTTAGGCTATGGTGTATTTCCCATAACATCTCAATAATACAATCTAGCAGATCCAAATGTTGTTCGAGGCTATGAAGCGGATGCGTACGGTAATTATAGTAAAATATCAATAATATGTCTCGCTTCTTTGCAAAACCACAAACTTCTGTCCTCGTGGGGGTTCTTATCAGTCGTGCCATAGCTAGGACAAACATGGATTATGTTACTCTACAAGGATCTCATAAATGTCTTGATATAAGTGTTCATGACTTCATATCATCAATCATAACTTGATTAAAATATTCCCATATCCAGCCATAGATATAACAATTCGTTACATAAGAAAACTCATGAATTTAAAAATAAATTTTACCTTGATCGTTGGCTGAAAGTCAGTTGCTAGCTTCTTCGATGATTAAGGACAATAACTTTCTTTTTAAAAAGTCTACAGAAAAGTAAACCTTGCTCTGATACCACAACTGTGACGCCCCGAACTTAAGCTTCAAGGGCCACGAACTTTACATAAAAACTTTTGCTTTTGGTACATGAAAATATTCTTAAATAGAAATATTACATGTTAAAAACTTATTTTCAACTTGGTAAGATAATTCTTATAAAATTTGATGGCCGATAAAAGTGCACATCGACAAGGAATTATGCTTCACATATACGGCCTCGGCACTGTCAAGATTAGTTGGGGCAGTAAGTTTGACAATTTTTATAAAATTAATCCCAACTCCGTTTTCTATGAAATTTGTGGCATTAGAAATATAATTTCAAGTAGTTTTCTAGGTTAAATATGAAAATTTTCCAAGATCATATGATATAGACGTTTTACTGAAAACAGTGAAGTATTACACAGGGAATCCAGATTGACCTTTGGATGTTAAAACCCTGATAAATCAGACCATAGATATCCAAATTGAGTGATTCCTTCGGCCATACTTAGAAAACTCAAAGGGAAAAACAGACATATTTTTATAATCTCAAATGGACCTTTATAGAGTTAGAAACATCATTTTTGAAATTGACTCCAGAAACTGCCCTGTTTCTGTCTTTTATCTTTTGTAAGGAAAATAAACTTTAAAAAAACGTCTCTTATCGTAATATGGAAGATATATTCACATAATTTACTTTTAATACCATATTACATCATGTCATGTACAAAATTTATACATGATACTTTAAGAGAAATAGATGGAAACATTCCTTGAACAAAATACACGAAAGAAACTTTAGATTCATCATACCACATAAGCATAGAAGGTATCTTACCGTAAATCTTTGAATCTTCGATTGAAAAGCAAGTTGGAAGAGTTTAGTTCAATTCCTTTTTCCTTCCTTAATTTTTCGGTTTTGCTCTCTCTTTATAAATGTATAAGTGTTTGTAGAAATGAAGGATATCTCTTTCTCTTATGGCATGGATAGGGGGTATTTATAATAGTATAAATAGATAAGTATAAAAAGATATTTTATTATTATTATTTTTTTTTTATTATTTACTTGGTGGCCGACTTTGACCCCCCCTTTTTTTCTTTTTTCTTTTTATAACTTTACACTTGTTTAATCCATGATCCAAATGTATGGTGGTGATGGATAACAAGTGGGGCTAATTATAGGTAATTAGTAGCCTAAAAACCTATATTTGCAAAGGAAATCTCTAATCTTCCAACTAATATAATCCAACCCTCTATCTTTCATTATTAGCAAATATATCCCAAATCTAAACTTATATCCAACTTACATATCCAAAAATTGTAGATCGTAAATTAATTTAATCATTTGGTCAATTGAAGTCCTAACAAAATAATCGACCACATTCAATTTCAAACTTGACTTAAGTTTCTACTAACTAATAATCACTTCATGTATACACAACATTTAACACCTCATGCTTGTAGTCATTAGCTACCTCTAACATTAACCACTACAAAGGTGGTGTCCCCTTTTCTTATGGCCAAAAATAGCATTGAAAGTTAAATCGCCATCTTAAAGGAATTTAAATTTTCGTAGTATTACAGTGTAAGCTCAAAACAATAGCCCACAAAATAACCCTACAGGTCGTCATCCATGTACATTGATCTTTGGAATCCCGTAAGAGCTCCACAGCTAGCCGTGCCCTCTACATAGTTCCATGCTCACCTAAAATGCAAGAACTACATAAGCCAATGCTTAGTAAGCAAGAATCATGTATATCATGAGTATGAGTAACAAGGATATGTGACACCATGTCATTTACTTTAAACATCATGCTAAAGATGCATCATATTCCAATATTCATCAAAGTCGACTCGAAATTATTTCATTTGAAATCTTTCATTTCATTGGGCCCTTGACCCACTAACTATGCGCCGGATAGAGCTCTGCATACTATCAATATCAATAATCAAGTGGCCAATATGAAATCGACACCGATGAGTGGACCATCCTCTCATGACTGCTAGAGGTCCATCCCCTAAGTACCCCTATGATCACCCAAGAAGTCTCCCACCCGGCAGCGCCAATAATCATAACAAGGGCATAGTCAAGCGGTCCACCCTCCCGTGATCACCAAAGGCCCATCCCCTGTCTACCTTTGCAATCACCTAGGAAGTTCCGCACTGCCAAACGTATCACATAAGCATGCCTCGGTGCCCTAGTAGTGGTCAATAAAACATTTATAAAGAAAACTTACTTTGAAATCATGTTTCGCATGCAAAGTTTTCAACCATGATCATATGTTGTGCATGCCAACGAAAATGCTCATGAATGACATGCTTAATGGAAGTTGATGTCAATGTATTTTGCAACCGCATACTCAATGATCATAATCATCATATAGGGTACAACGAGCTTTCTTATCAAAGTATGAAAATATCCTATCATCACTATACCACAAATGCTAGGTTCTTGCATCGTAGTTGCAAATGGATTTTTTACTTACCTTTTTGCCCTTGTGTGTGCACAAGCTCCTACGGAGATTATATCACTTTCCTTTTTCACTCAACGTCGGAAAATCACCTGTATTACCATTTAATATTAAAGAAAATCCTCCATTTAATAGCCTTAACACACGCAAAATCCCGAAATACCTCTATTCACATCAAAATAATTTAAACGAATTCCTTATTGAAGTTACTAACGGCATTACAATCTCGTCCCACAAGTCTCATTTTTCCTCGAGTCCAATTAGCAACATCAACGTCATCAAATTGTTGTCAACAACCTAATACTCCTTAGAATCTATTTCCTAGGCCCAAGAGATAATTAATTTACATGTAAAGGTTGAAATCATATTAAACACATAAATGGACAGAACCTGTTTTTCAGGTTTCATCACTGTCCAACTACTTTTCCAATCCGTTTTCACCCCCCTTATCCATATCCAATGACTCCCAAATTTTTACCACGTTTCTATAACATGTATGTGAAGACAATAACGCTCTAAATTCGTGACAAATCAAGTGTTCTCAGCATCAAAATAGTCCACTTCCACGACATCAAAATCGGGCAGTTTTCATTGTGACAGCTTTCAGTTTCCATTTTATTAGCATGTCATCAAACAGATTCCAGGCTATTATAAGACCATTTATATCCTTATAAATCCCATTAATTTACATAGACACAAGTTATATCTTCAGTATTATCCAAAATCAAAGTTTAAACCATCCAAATTCATCAATCAACACAGCTCTATTCCTGTTGGTTTCTTTCAGGTTCTTGTACTCAATTATCCCTCTCTTTTGCCATCATAAAATCATAAACAACCCTTATACTTAGCCTCAAGTAAGTTTATAGTTTAAACATATTATAAAACAAGCAAAAGAACTAAAGAAAAACTTCAAAACCGTGAGCTAAACTCACCTATCCAGAAATTCAATTTCAGCTCCTTGTTTCTGCTTCTCTCTTTTCCTTTTTGCTTTCTCTTTCAATCGGTGGTCAATTGGGGATAATTTGTAAGACTAAATATGTTGTTAGGAGGTGTATATAAAGTCTTCAAGACGCTGGAGACGTGACTCTTCCTTAAGGATTAAGAAAATGTGGGGTGCAGCCAAGTGTTTAGCATGAGGTGGTCTTTTCCTACTATATTTGACTTTTCTCTTGGACTATTTAACTTATATTGATTCATAAGATATATATATCTATCTATATTAAATAAAAAGAGGTAGGAGAGGTGTTATATATCTTAAGGATGAAGGGATTGAGTATTAAAATGACAACTATCCCAAGCATGAGGTGCCAAGCACGACGTGTCTTCATTGTGGCCATACTTGATTTTCAACCATTATATTTGGATCCATTTATGATTATAAGATATATATTCATCCTATAATAAGTGCTTAAGGAGTAGGACAGGAGGTTGATGCCTTAAGGTTAAAGGAATTGGGTGTTAAAATGATAAATATTAAAAGCATGAGGTGGTCACTAGTAAAAAAAATCTGATTTTATATCTATCTTTGCAGGTATAAATCAAGTATCCTGGGCTTATGTTAATGTGTTTACAATCCATTTCACTTGCCCTAAGATCCCAAAATATTTTATAGAGCTAATTCCTCAATCATTCATTTAATTACTTACCCGATTGACACCCCATTCTCGATTGATTTCATCAAATCGCACCTCGATATTTATAATGTCATATGAGACATATATTATCGCATCATGATCATGTTCCTTTATGTATCATGTCCCAAATATGTCAATTACCTATCTAGGATTTAAGGTGGTCTCGATCAACCAAGTAGAAAGCTTGAACTTTTGTCGATTCCGATTTCCGACCTTTTCGATATTCCATTTCTTATCAAGCCAATCTCCAACATTTAGTTAACCTAATTTTCTATCATAGCTCAATACAAAATTCAACACCTAGGTCTAGGAGTCGAAGACTAAAATCTTAAAATATCCATAATCGAATGCACCATTTTAAGATAAAGTAATTAAGAAAACTAATGCAACTAACATTGTGAATAGCATGAATCATATTGGCCAAATATATAACAGGAAGTTTGGGGTATTATAGTATGCGAAAGATATGCCAATTTTTTTGAAAACAGACAATCCAAGCGATTAGTGTACATAAGTGCCTGTTCTTCCACACTAAACTCATTCCGAATCGTCGCAAGCTTTTTTAAATGTGGTTATTGCCCTAAAATGAACACCGTATGCGAAAGTTATGCCAATTTTTTTGAAAACTTTTAAACCAAGCATTCCGTGTATGCAAGTGCTGGTTTTTCCATGAGAACCTCGTTCTTACTCATCACGACCTTTTTGAAATGTGTTTATGGACCCAAAATGAACACCGTATGCGAAGTTATGCAAATTTTTTCGAAAACTGACAATCTAAGCGTTCCTTGTACGCAAATGCTTGTTTTTCCACGCGATCCTCATTTTGAGTCGTCGTGAGCTTTTTGAACTATGGTTATGGGCCAAAAATGGATATCGTATATGAAAGCTATGCCAATTTTTTTGGAAAATTGACAATCCAGGCATTCCGTGTATGCAAGTGACTGTTTGTCCACTTAAACCTCGATCTGAATCGTCGCGAGCTTTTCGAAATGTGGTTGTGGGCTAAAAACGAACAACGTATGAGAAAGTTATGCCAATTTTTTTTAAAACTGACAATCCAAGCATTCCGTGTACGTAAGTGCCTGTTCTTCCATGCTAACCTCATTTCGAATCATCGCGAGCTTTTCGAAATGTGGTTATGGGCCCAAAATGGATATCGTATGCGAAAGTTATGCTAATTTTGTCAAACACTGACAATCTAATCGTTTAGTGTATGCAAGTGCTTGTTCTTCATTGCGAACCTCATTCCAAATCACCGCGAGCTTTCTAAAATGTGGTTATGGGCCCAAAACGGATACAGTATGTGGAAGTTATGCCAATTTTTTTTGAAAATTGACAATCCAAGCATTCCGTGTATGTAAGTGCCGGTTCTTTTCTAACAATGACAATCCAATTGTTCCATGCATGCAAGTTTCTGTTCTTCCATGTGAACCGCGTTCCTAATCATTGTGAGCCCTTCGAAATATGTTTATGGGCCCAAAATCGACACTGTATCCAAAAGTTATACCAATTTTTTGAACACTGACAATCCAATCATTCAGTGTATGCAAGTGCCTATTCTTCCACGTAAACCTCGTTCTGAATTATAGCGAACTTTTCGAAATGTGATTATGGGCCCAAAACGGACTCCGTATGCCAAAGTTACGCCAATTTTTCCAAACACTGACAATCGAGGCATCCGGTGTACGCAAGTGACGGTTCTTCCACGCGAACCTTGTTCTAATCATCGTGACCTTTTTGAAATGTGGTTGTGGGACTAAAACCGACACTATATGTGAAAGTTATGCCAATTTTTTTTAAAACTGATAATCCTTGCATTCTATGTATGCACGTGCCAGTTCTTCCACGTGAACCTCGTTCTGAATCGTCGTGAGCTTTCCAAAATGTGGTTATGGCCTAAAACGAACAGCGTATGTGAAAGCTATGCCAATTTTTTCAACACTGATAAAATCCAATCATTCCGTCCACATAAGTACCTGTTCTTCCAAGTGAACCTCGTTCTAAATCATCGTGAGCTTTTCGAAATGCGATTATGGGACCAAAACAGACACGTATGTGAAAGTTATGCCAATTGTTTCAAACAACACTGACAATCCAATCGTTTCGTGTATACAAGTGCTTGGTCTTCCATGCAAACCTCATTCCGAATCATCGCGAGCTTTCCAAAATGTGGTTATGGGCCTAAAATGGACTCCGTATGCAAAAGTTATGCCAAATTTTTCAAACACTAACAATCCAATATTTCCTTGTACGCTAGTGCCTATTCTTCCATGTGAACCTCGTTTCGAATCATCGCGAGCTTTTCGAAATGGGTTATGGGCCGAAAACGAACACCATATGTGAAAGTTATGCCAATTTTTTCGAACACTGACAATCCAATCATTCTGTGTACACAAGTGCTTGTTCTTCCACACAAACCTCATTTCGAATTGTCCCGAGCTTTTCGAAATGTGGTTATGGGCCCAAAACGGATTCCGTATGCAAAAGTTATGCCAATTTTTTCAAACACTGACAATCTAATCTTTTCGTGTACGCAAGTGCCTATTCTTCTATGCGAATCTCATTCCGAATCATCGCGAGCTTTCGAAAATGTAGTTATGGGCCAAAAATGGACACCGTATACGAAAGTTATGCCAATTTTTGGAAACAATGACAATCCCATTGTTCCGTATATGTAAGTGCCTATTCTTCAGGGTGAACCTTATTTCGAATCGTCCCGCACTTTCCAAAATATGGTTATGGGCCCAAAACGGATCTGTATGTAAACATTATGCCAATTTTTTCAAAAATTAACAATCCAAGCATTCCATGTATGCCAGTGCCGGTTCTTCAATGAAAACCTCGTTGCGAATCATCACAAGTTTTTCGAAATGTGGTTATGGACCCAAAAAGGGACACTGTATGCGAAAGTTATGCCAATTTTTTCAAAAACTGACAATCCAAGCATTTCGTGTACTCCAGTGCTAGTTGTTCAACGCAAAACTCGCTCTTAATCATCACGAGCTCTTCAAAATGTGGTTGGGGGTCGAAAATGGTCACCGCATGCGAAAGTAGTGCTAATTTTTTCGAAAACAAACAATCCAAGCGATCTGTGTATGCAAGTGCCGATTCTTCTCCACGAACCTCATTTCGAATCATCGCCAGCTTTTCGAAATGTCATTGTGGGCCCAAAATGGACACTGTATGCGAAAGTTATGCTAATTTTTTTCAAAAATTGACAATCCAAGTGTTCCTTGTACACAAGTGCCTGTTCTTCCACATGAGCCTCAATACAAATCATCGCGAGCTTTCTGAAATATGGTTATGGGCCCAAAATGGATACCGTATGCAAAAGATATGCCAATTTTTTTGAAAACTGACAATCCAAGCATTCTATGTACACAAATGACTGTTCTTCGACATGAACCTCGTTTTGAATCGTCGCGAGCTTTTCAAAATGTGGTTATGGGCCCAAAACGGGCATAGTATGTGAAAGTTAAGCCAAATATTTCAAAAACTGACAATCCAGTCATTCTTTGTATGCGAGTGCTTGTTCTTTCGCGCGATCCTCATTCCAAATCGTCACGAGCTTTTCGAAATATGGTTATGGGCCCAAAACGAACAACGTATGCGAAAGTTATGCTGATTTTTATGAGAACTGACAATCCAAGCATTTCATCTACACCAGTGCTAGCTCTTCCACGCGAACCTCTATCTTAATTATCGCGAGCTTTTCGAAATGTGGTTGTGGGTCAAAAATGGACTCCGTATGCAAAAGTAAAGCCAATTTTTTTGAAAACAGACAATCCAAGCGATCAGTGTACGCAAGTGCCTATTCTTCCATGTGAACCTCGTTCCAAATCACCGCGAACTTTCCAGAATGTGGTTATGGGCCCAAAACGAACACAGTATGGGAAAGTTATGCCAATTTTTTCGAAAACTTACAATCCAAGCATTTATGTGTGCAATTGTCTGTTCTTCTGCAGGATTCTCATTTCGAATTGTCACGATCTTTCTAAAATGTGGTCAAGGGACCAAAACAGACACCGTATGCGAAAGTTAAGCCAATTTCTTTGAAAATTGACAATTTAAGAATGCCATGTATGCATGTGCCGATTCTTCCACACAAACCTTGTTCTGAATTGTCTCGAGCTTTTCGAAATGTGGTTATGGGCCCAGAACGAACACTATATGAGAAAGTTATGCCAATTTTTCGAAAACTAACAATCCAAGCATTCTGTGTGCTCAAGTGCTGGTTCTTTCACACGAACCTCGTTCTTAATTGTCGCGAGCTTTTCAAAATGTGGTTATGGGACCAAAACGGACACTGTATGCGAAAGTTATCCCAATTTTTTCGAAAACCAACAATTTGAGCATTCTGTGCACGTCCATGCCGGTTCTTCCACGCGAATCTTATTCCGAATCATCGTGAGCTTTTC